TATAACTCGACTAAACTTTGCACGAATAACTGGTGCCTTTGAGGGCTGYAACCTTATGACCAAAAATTGTCCAAATTCAATCAAAACTATGCTATTGAACCTAGGTACCGAATGTGTGGCCTCCAATGCTTATAATTGACCAAAATTATCGGTCAATGTGTGAGATATATAATTGAAATTCAGAGGAATACTGACCTGATAGTTTGTCCGTATGTGCAAAATGAGTTGAGTCTTAATTGCCCGATCTATCTGGCAAGTGCATTTGCCGGACGGYGGGCAGAATGCAGGTCGCAATTTCTATCTGAAAATAGTTCTAAAAAGAGTGTAAAATTCTGAAAATTTTTAAAACTTAAAAAAAAAAAAATCGGTTTTTGCCAAAAATTTTCCACTTCATATTGTTTAAAAATATATTCAAACATGACTTTTCTTTTCGCTTTCTGCCCAATCGCTCACATATCTGCTAGACGCTCGGTCACTATTTTCCTTCTAGATTCGACAATATTTCGAAWTTYCMWTTWAWYCMAWTTWARRMAAAAAAATCGATTTTTTGAAGCTTTTAAATCAGGCTCCCCCCTTAAATACTTTTTCTATCAACTTATCAGCTAATTCAAATATCAAACAAAATATATATGCATATTAATATCCATTAAAATGTAATACCTTCATTATTTGCAACACACGAGTTTTGGTCTTGAATTGAGCAGAAGGACACTAGTCAAGAAAGGTTTACTTTACCGCGGTCTCAACAACACATGAAATGAGTACTTACATAGTTACAAGTACCATACGTAATAGCTTACTTCTGCGTACTGTTGCAAATGTTTAYATAAGCCTTAACTTTTTGCCACAGCGGAGTTAGAGTTAAAAGTAGGCAAAAGCTTGGCATGTAAGTAAATCAGTTGGATTCGATTGTGCTAAGCACAAGAGTGGCTTTAACTTACTTTACCGGTTTTCACGATGTGAAGGTAGTTTGCGCTATTTTCATATATAGAGCAATRCATAATAGCAATAACAACAATTTGAACAGTCCTCGCATAGCCTTATTATTTACTATTACACAAATTTGTTAACAAAAAAAGCGAACGCATCTTGCTTTGATCTAACAGTTTTGTTCATTAATATTTAGTGTTTTTTTTTTATAATGATTTTGGCCACGTAACATTTTACTGTTATTTAAGCGTGTCTTACACCCCCACATTAACTGTATAACTACTATTTTAACCGTTAAAAATGATCTCTTTTTTTTTTTTTGTAATTCATGCTGGCAAAAGTGTCGCCGACGCTACGGTTTGTTGTTGGTGGGGATGTTGACGTTTCTGATTTTGCTCACGAGCGGCTTTACCGTCACAGTTACACATTCTAMTTGAATTCTGAGAACAAAATTTGCGGTTTACTAGTTGAAATCTGGTCAAACGTGTTTCAGTTGTCTTTATCCACAATTAACTGCTGTTTAACACACGTTAAGTTATTTGTTTTTGTTAGTATTCTTATTGCTCATTCGTGGACCAGCTTGTTAAGTTCTTTGGCTTAAGATTACATACGTACATGGTGATTTTCCAGTCATTGGTGATTTTGTTGGCACGCCGCTTGTTTGCTGGCTGAATTGTAAATCAGTTTCGCTTTTTATTATTTTCTATCATAATTGTTGTTATTTTGTGCGCGGTCTGTGTTTGTTGTGATTGATTATGATCACAATCACTTAAGGCCTTGGCGAGTGTGCAATTTTATGTGCACAACTATTATGTAACCCAATCATGAAGTGCTTATATACCTATAAGCACATGCACATAAATATGTATCTCTATTGAAATCTCTACTGCGTTTATTTTTTGAACACATTCGAAATCAAATGGTTTGACTAATTGTGTAAGTGTTTGTAGATATTTTGATAGTATTGTTGTAGATTGTTGTTGTGTTATTTGAACTTTTGTGAGCATTCCATAATTGGAAAGATTGTAACATATCATAAGTTGTAACAATTTAAAAGCGCTTCAAAATTAAATTAATTTATTTGCTATATATGTACAGAGCATCCGGATAATGCTCTAAAAGGGCGGTAAAGTTTTCATTCGTAAAGTTTTTTACTTAACGAAAATATGTTGTTCTTTATAAACATACTAGAGCGTCGACGCTTCACTATGGCGGATACTTAGATAATACTACTACTACCACATATGTAATTTATATTAGTACGATTATTTACATACTGGTTAATGAGATATAGCATTTTTGTGAAGCAATTTGTGGTAGTTTACCAAAATATTGATCATAAAGCATTTCGTRTGTTAATAAAGCATTGGCTTTTGGAGGACCACCGCTCTAAAGAATCATCCGCCTTGTGCAAAATGGACGCCTCGCAAGAGAGTGTTTGAGTGCTCTTTAATCGTAATAAAACCGAACTCTTTTATATATACTCAACACTATAATGGTTCACCGCTTATATTTTTCTTTGAAAAATGCTTCGAAAAAAAATCTATGTAGAATTCTTCTGTCGAAGAATTAAGCAATGCGGCTAAATTCTACTGAGTTCATATTTACAATCAAGTAAGTACATGAGAAACKTTACAATACAATATGTAAACAACAAATACAAGTTGATGAAATAAAAGTAAATATTTCTATTATTTCGTCAAATCGTCAAGCATTTGGAGAAAATTTGAAGAAAGTTGGTTGKGTTTAGGTGAGCTGCTTTTTTAACTAAAACAAAAAGAAGACTAATTAAAAATGAAACACTTTAATGCGTTACTATTTGGTAAGTTTTTCGTGCTTTTATCATTGGTGGAAATTTATAATTACATACAGTTTCAAATTTTTTTATAGAATGTGTAAAAGTAGAAGGCTTCAGCGAATCGGAGTATGCTCACCAAGTTCAAAATAGCATCAGACTCGCCAAAGGCCGTTTCTTTAAATATCATAGCTCAAAAGAATCCCAATCCTTTTTATATATAAATAYTTATTTCAATAACGAAATATAAACATGCAGCTTCATAAATAGAGCAAAATTAATATGCAAATTTTTCTATTCTTCTCTTGACCTTGGCATCGAAGAATTCTTCGTCCTTATGGTAAGCGAAAGAGGTGATCTGTTACTTTTCGTAGGGTATCGCCGTGTTAATTTCATCGGTCGGAGTAAGCGATACAATCATACTGCACCGTTTATTTTGCTCGCTTAAAAATGGCTACCATATCCCACTGGGTGTAGATGTGAGGTTATGTTATTATTTATTTTTTTAAGAAATGAAATATTTAAATATTCCTACCAACATGCATTTTGAACAATGCTTATGATTTGAATTATAATTTTTGTATTTATGAGTTGTATTAAATTTTGTATGTACCTGATTCTAAGCTACCTCCCCACCAATTTTCAGCCAAATCGGTTCAGCCGTTCTTGAGTTATAAATGTTGTAACTAACACAACTTTATTTTATCTATATATATTTACTGGACATATAATTTTTCTTTAATATTGCTTACCTTAGCTCATAAACGTTATTTACTTAGAGTGAAAAGGTTTAGAAAACCATGGGAATGACTCGCGACTTAGAAAGTGATGCAAATTACTGTTGTTGAAAAGTTCTAAAATCCATGAAAAATTTGTTTTCACAACTCATATTTCTTTTTCAAAGATTTGAAAGTAGTTAATATTTTTAAATATTGCGTAATTCTCGCCATAAAAATCAGGTTCAAAACCAATTTTAGACCTAGACTCTCTTAAGAAAAGTTGTTCAGAATAATTCATAGAAAATTTTCCGCATATGCGATTTTATAGAAAAATCGAGCCGCATATATATACACTCGAAGATCGAAATATTTAATTTTCCTTTAAATAAATAGGTATCCTCCTTAATTAGTTTTGCCTCACCTATCTAGTTTATTAAGTGATGGTATACAAGGGGTTGTCTTGTACTTAAATCCCCTCCTATTTCTCAGTCCAAAAAATTAATTATAATAAAAATGTAAAGTAATTTTACATGGCTGAAATATTTATTGGTTAGTACTTGGAAATAGTTTATGTCTTTGAAGTTCCAGTTCTTAACATAGGTGTGTGAACCAATAACACTAACCATTTATTTCATAGCAGTGTTGATTTCTTATCGAATTTAAGTGATACCGTTAATAAATGACAATATTATATTGACAAAGGGTAAGAAAGGCCAAACTTAATATGCCTTATATGAATGTAGGCAGTTAAGCGGCACCTATGACCTTCCTTCCTCTCTCATACCATTAATAAAAGTAATTATGCAGTGCTTTATTTCTATTGAATCCTCGATCACAAAGGTTAAGTGGTAATGAAATTGTGGACGAAATTTCCAAGTTAGGTGTACGACTGTCATCCGAAAACTTGACCGAAATTGATAGAACCATGCATTGAGTTTATCAAGAACTGAATTAGAGCATGACAATGAAAGTCAAAACGCGATATAATAATCTACCAAGGCGCAAAAATACAAATGTGTAAAGCGTAAGACCAAAAATACTCAATACTCCTATTGACACACGATGTAAAGGACTGCCGAAACTTGGTTGGAATTCTCACTGATCGCAGTCAGTTTGTTGCTCTCGTTTGCAGAATGGGGTGGACAGATCGAGAAAACTACCGGAAGTATCAAGAGCAATGCACAAGAGAAGCAACGARGTATCTCTGGTGCAGTTGTTTCTCATTGGTAATGTCAACTGCCGAATTCACGTCAAACGCTGGCAATCCAAATGATGACCACTCTTCATAGCACTCCATTTGGTACAGTTAAGGMCCASAACTGGTCTGKGCGTGACTTAGTAGSCAACTRACCWAACTTAACCTCTACATCAGTGAAAGGTATGATTACTTTATAGGCCTATAATTTTCATAATTTTACTTATAATAACATATTATAAAATACATAATTATAATATTTTTATAAAGAACTCTTAATAATTTTTGCTAAATAGAGTTTTCCATAAAACAGTGAGTTAAAATTTTTTCGAAAAGACAATTTTATTTACTGGCCCAAAAATCAATTTTATTATTTTTATTACCATCTAATATTATTTAATACTAAAGCAAACTCATTATCATTATATATTCGAAATCAAATCGACGTAATCAAAAGCCTTGACTTTAGTTTGTCATGAATATTAAAAAGTCGGAAGACTTACGCAGTAGTTAAATGTGTACAATTTACCATCTTGATTTTATTTTCGATACAAAAAATTGTTAAACTATATCATTAATATGACAAACTAAATATAAATTAAGATAACACTATTTTCATATAACTAAACTAAATCAACATCTAACTACGTCTAGCCTAGGAAAAAATCCAACACAAAGCGATATACTTTACTAGCAGTACTATTACTGACCGGTTTCAACAGGGGCTGCGGTTCCATGAGTGCATCGAAATCGGTATAATGCAGTATATACCATTCGGCCACAAAGTAAAACACCAAAGTAATAAGGCCGAACTTGAGGTAAATCTTCAAAATATCAAATAAATGACCCAGAAGAATTTGCAAACCTTCCATGATGCAATTAAAAGCACGGCCAAAMATCACCATCATCGGTGCTTTGCCAAAGTGCCAATTGATTGCGGCTCACGCTGGGCCAAAAAGTGGTGAACTGTGCGAATTGCGCTCTTGGAGGTTTGTGCAATTATTGGTTTATGGCTGCGCGCATGCACAAAAATTGTCCGTGTTAACGGTGTTGGCCTGGCGATTTGGTAATTTCTTGCCTGTGTGTTTATGTTATACATACAAATGTGCATATATGTACATGCAATTGCAACTGTAGAGCACACAAGTCACATATCCAATCAATGTATTTGTGAGTGTGTTTGTGTACTTGTTATTTTTAATATRCAAAGTAATGAAGAAGCAGCAATCTTTCGATTATTTTTGTACGTTTTGGCAGCGTCGTCGCGWAGCCTGCTCTTCGATTCGGCGTAGAGCTCCTCACTTAAGTGCTTTAATATGTGACAGCTTTGAAATTCGTTTTATAATTCGCGAATTCGATGCGCTTATATTTTCGTTGACAACGTCTGGTTTCACTCCGCACACATGAGTTATATAATTATTGCACTTTACTTTTTTCAAGTTTACTTTAATTAATTTTTAAGTTCAATTATTGGTTGGTTTTATTTTTGATATTTTTTTTAATTTTTCATTTTTGAAACATTTATGGGCGTCAGCAGATYACCAATATTATTTTAACAGTTTATTGCAGTAGTTTTTGAGGTTCAAGTGAATGCAAATCTGTAATTGAAAAAAAAAAAATTTTTTAATTAACTTATATATTTTTAATAATTTCGGAAAAACTTTATAAATAATAAAGTAAATGAACTATTAAAAATTCTTAAAAACTGGAATTGTATGATAGTTATAATAATTTTAAAAAATAAATTTGGATTGGATTAAATATTTATAATTAAGGCAATTGAAACCGCCAGTTTTTGCAGTATATTTTAAGCTAATACATATAAAAAATAATAATAATAAAAYTAATAATAAAATAATAATAAAACAAACTAAGTTTTTCATAAATAAATTTTTTTTAACGAAAAAGCAGTTTATAAAGAAATTTTTTCTATAATTATTTACTATATTTATGTAATATAAATTGTTTTCTAAAAATTTTATTAAAAAAAAAAATTGAACAAGCATGAGATTTAAAACTGCGTTTAATATGTGTTTACTTTTAGTTAAAATTTGTATACAGTATGCATTTATTTTAAATAATCTAATTGAGTACATTGTGAATTATATAGAAGTCTTCGTGAAGGAGTTAGGKATTGTCAGAGTTTTCATTTTGCATTTACTTAAAGTATAAATATAAAAAGCTTCGATAAGGGCACGAGATTATCTAAARCTTTTTTAACCCATGAACATATTATGATTAGTATGTTGAGCTGAGYCGATTTAGCCATGTTCATGTCTGTCCCTCTGTCCGTCTGGCTGTCWGTCTATCCATATGTCTGTTGCCATRCAAACTGAACGAATCAAGTTCTTGTATGGAAAACTTTCACATTTGACAATATATCTTCACAAAAGTTGGYATGAGTTATTGTTCATAGAAATAATGTAATATCGGAAGAAATTGTTCAGATCGGTTCACTATAGCATATAGTTGCCATACAAACCGAACGATCGGAATCAAGGGTTTGTTATTCTGGCTAAAAAGATCTATTAAAATGTTTTCTTTTGGATGAATACCACTGGCCGGTTACATCTTTAGACTTACTTAAACACATAGTTACTAAAAGAAATGTACCTATGAAGAGTACAAGATGCGTTCCAAAGTAAACAGGACTTGTTGATTCTAGCGCACCTGGTGGCGCCATCTATATGTTAACTGGTACGATGTAATCTATATTTATTGTCCAGTGAGAATTTTATGACATTTCATTGATTAAAACTGAATTTATTGCGTTTTAATTGTCAGTATGTGTGTGTTATCGGTGCGGTGCGAAAATGAGCTCCCAACAAAGAGTCAACATTAAATTTTGTTTTAAAATTGGTAAAACTTTCATGGTGATGATAGCCTATCCCGGAGCAGAGCGCACAAGTGGTTGCAACGTTTTCAAAGTGGTCGTGAGGACATAAAAGACGATCAACATGTGGGCGAATCAAAATCCGTGATCTTCGGCAATTCCATCGACACTGTGCGTGAATTCATCAAAAATCAACCGAAATCATCAGTGAAATTCATGGAAATGGAATTGAACATCTCCAAAACATCGACTTATTGCATTTTGATCGAACATTTGGGCTTACGAAAGGTGTGTGCATGGTTTGTTCCGTACAAATTGACTGACGACCAAAAATTGCTCAGAATCCAATATTCGAAGGACGATTATTTTACCAAAAATCACATTTTAACCATTAGCCACTTCCCGTATTCATCTGATATGGTACCGTGCGGCTTTTTTCTTTTCGAAAAAATGCATTTGCCCATGAAAGGAAAGCGTTATGCAGACGTAGAAGCCATTCAAAAGGCTTGCACCGGTATGCTGGCGGCCATACCTTCCAACAAGCTAAAACACTCATTCTACATGCTTTTGGACCGTGCTAAGAATTATATAGAAGCTTTCGTAAAGGTGTTAAAGATTGTTAGAATTTTCAAAGTATTTGCATTTTCTTAAAACATAAATATAAAAGCTTTCGATCAGAGCACAAGATTATCTATTAATGAAATTTTTATTTTCGACTGAATTTAGATGAATCTCAAATTATTAGTGATGGACACCGAAAAAAGCTTTGGTTGGAACTGTTGATGCAGTCAAAGCAGACATTACTTTAAAGATTATTAATGTTTTTCAAATTTCTGTGAAATCAATTCGAAACTTTATTTAAAGTCGTCTATTATAGTGTGTAACTTGTCGAAATCGGACTAAAACTACACCTARTTCCTATACAACACAATTTTAAATACCATCCGATTCTTTCACTTTCCAGTATTSAAATCAAGAGCGAAACAATCTATCCGGATAAATGTCTTTGAGATATGACGCCTTTTGACCAAAAATTGTCTAAGCCGGATTAAAAGTATTCACGTACCAAACTCCATTTCCTACTGCGAATTGCTTACCGAAAATATCGATCAACCTGTCAGATGTACTACTACTGAAGTTAAAAAAAAAAAAAAAAATATGTTCCATGGATTAAAACCATGAAAGTTGCAAGAGTAAAAAATTTTCGATTGCATCCCAACTTAGCCTGTCTTGTTTTCGGTTAATTTTCTTGACCATAATAAACAAATCGTGAGATTTTTTAAGGGCGTTAGGGCCAGACATTTAGTCTTCAAAATTGTTGTCGTATGACAAAAAAAACGTCGTACTTAAAAAACTACTTAGGAATATTTGAAAAATTTGATTCCTTCAAAAATTATAGGCATATTACCAGATAAACTAAACTTTTCAAAATTCTAAAGATAATCTCAAAATTTTAGTCGATAGTACAAAAATTGTAAAAGTCATTTGTCTCGCAAATAGGAAAAAATAGGTTTGACAAAAATGCGTTTAAAGTTTCACATATAACTATAGCAGAGCCGGAAATGGGCGTACTGCATACACTTAAAGTCTTTTTTTTTTTTTTGATTTACTATATATAACTAAGAAGCAAAGACCTCCACTCCGTTGGAAGGACCAAGTGGAGAAGGATCTGACTTGGAATATCTAATTGGCGCCACGTAGCGAAAAGAGAAACGACTGGCGTGCTGTTGTGAACTCGGCTATAAGCGCGTAAGCGGTGACTACGCCAATTAAGAAGAAGAAGAACTATGAAGCATAGTTTATGCGAAAAAAATGATTTTTTGAAAATTCTATAGCAGTAAGCACCTTAAGTAAATGAAGTTCGTTGCTTAAGTCTTTTGATTATTTACTGATGGATGTGGCATTTGCAGGATCGAATGACGAAATTAAAACGGTAAAGGTAGTAATTTAAAAGTAAATTTATGGAATGGCTAAAAAAATCATTAATGTCAACAACATAAAAATTTTTAATTAAATTTTGTTTTAAAAACTCACGTTTACCCATTGATCGAACTAATAAATATTTAGTTTGTATACGTACTTTTGGGTGGCATATCAATTTAATTAGTTTAGAAATGTTTTTTTTTTTTTTGTTAAGAAATAAAGTTTTTTCAGAGTGATTATAGTTCGACAATTTTAATTTTTTAATTTGATAAAAAGATTATATTGACAATTTAGACATTATGCCGCCCATTATTGATTAAGATCTAGTTTTAATTCTTGATACTAACATCTGGCAATATTGACGCAAAATTATTTAAGAATTTTACAGTTTTTACATCATTATATATACAAATATACTCGATAATAAAATTTTCAAGTGTGTGAAAAACTATTAAAACAAGGATCAGACATCTTTCTTTACAACTTGATTTCACTGTTATCTAGCAGGTTTAAGTTGTTTAGGAACACTCCGTGGCAGTATGAGGATATTCCGTTACGCGATATCGGGGTAAAGTATAGATGAAATCGAATGACCATTACGCCTACTTCGCATCTATTTATTAAGTTTAAACTATTGCAAAACTAAAAATGTTAAATTAAACTGGAAAGATAATGCAGCAAACATTTGGGTCACTTGAAAAAATGGTACTTGAAGGATATGAAGCACAAATAGGGCTTATCTCATATGGCAACACCGATCCAAAAATTCCTTAAATAATGAATATGAAGATATCAGTGAATACGGCTAATTTAAACAACACATATACCTTAAAAAAATTTTCGTAAGAAATCTAATGGAATGGTTTCTGATAAATTTCATTACAAAGCATCCGTATTTATCCCTTATCTTTTATTTATACCTATTTTCCAATATTATAAGGAAGAAGAAAAAAAGTGAATGAAATGTTAATTGATATGTTTATTTATTTTATTAAAAGAAAATAACTAAATATTCACCTAGAGTCGTCCTTTTAAGTTACACTTTATGAATAATTTGCTACTAAGCTTCTTATAATTGTTTTATAATAACTTTTTGGACATCAAGACTTGCCGGAATAAGATATATGTATGTATGTATGTATGTATATATCGCTTATCTGTGCTCTGTCACTTTTATACATTTCGCTGTTAATCCAATTAATATGCTTATGACGTATAAGAAAACCTTAATAAGCAAATATTTCGTGGAATTTTAAAATTTATTCTGCCTCCTTGAAGCAAACGAAATCTCAAGCAAGATATCCATAAAAATTCATTTTCAGCTGTTTTAAATATATTATTGAACGATTTTATATTTCACGAGAAGAAAATATTGTACAAGAAAAACATGAAACTTTAATATACATATATAAGAGTTTCGGAACCGGTCGATAATGCCCAGAAATGTTTGCAGGTCGCAAACCGTATAAGCCGCTTGCCTTCAGTTCGGTACCGGCAAAGCCTGTTGTTGTGCATTAAAGGCAGCTGTTTTGTATTTTTCCTTTTTATACTTTTCAACTTCTTCGTCTTCGAAATGTGTTGAGTATGCGTAATAAAATTAAAAAAATTGAAAACAATGTTAAGTATTGTCAAAACATACAAAGTCCTTAAGTTTAGAAGATGTAGATATGTATTTGTATATTTATAGCTCTATGCAGGCTGATATTGCTCGCGAAACAAAGAAATATTTTAAACAGCGAAAATTCCTAGAAATATTTATAGCAAAATACCAAGATTATTCTTTGGAATATTTTCACAGAATTTATTTGTCAGCTTTGTCAATATTATTGATGCGTTGTTTCGTCGAATGAAACAATTGATAAGGTATCTTTGTGGAGGGCCTAAATACTAAAAAAATAAAGTGAGCTTTATCACGGGAAATACAGTTTCGAGTATGGTTCGCTATAAAAGATATCCTACTTTAATTGCAATAAAGAAAGGCACTTTCATAAGTTTCTTAATCTTCAATAACAAATGCTTGGTAATTTGACGATTTCCTCGAATCTTATCAAAAGATATAAACCTTGAGGTCTAAGCAAATGAAATAGTTTCCACAGACTTTTTTTTTTTTGTTTAAGTAATTTGTTTTGTTCGTCTATCACTAATACTATTTAAAAGTTATGCTCCATTTTTTTGTACCAGATCTAAAAATTTTCATTCATAGACCACTACTTCACACTACCAATTAAGAGGTTATATTGACTTGCAAGGGAGAAAAACATATTTACAGAAATTAATGTAACTTTATAATGGATGATATTCTGAGAGTTTAGATTACCTTAATCACATAGCTGATCTTTAGCAGCACTTCCAAAAAAAGTGTCTGCTTAAAATTACTTCAAATCCGCAAACTATCGATCGGAAGACTAGTAAAAATTTGATTTTTGAATAAAATTGCGGCTTTCCAAAAAAAAAAAATCAATTTCGTCAAAAATATTTACACTTCAGATTGGCTTAAAAATTTTAAATTATTATCAAAAACTTTCTTCCTTCGTTTATTAGCTGGCAATTTCAAGTCGATCAGTGCAGCCGCTTTGGAAAAACTTCTCGCACCCACACTGAAATCAGAGTTTCGATAAAAACTCGTTAAAAGTTTTGGGAGTCGATTACAAATTGCAAAAAATTCATACAAATACACCCATTTCTCCAAAACTATTTGCCAATTAACTTAAAATTTTCAAAAAAATCAAACACGAATAAAAACAAGAAAAAACGTTAACTTCGGCTGCACTGAAGCTTTATAGGTGCATTTCTTTTAGTAACTATGTGGTCAGTGTGTATGGAAGCTATATGTTATAGTAATCCGATCTAAACAATTTTTTCGAATATTATGTTATTATCTTAAGCATGCCTTAATCCATGTCAAATTTCGTGAAGATACCACGTCAAATGCGAAAGTTTTCCATACAAGCCCTTGATTCCGATCATTCGGTTTGTATGGCACTACATGCTATAGTGGGCCGATCTGAACAATTTCTTCCGATATTAAGTTATTTCTATGAAAAATAGCTCATACTAAATTTCATTTTACAAACTTCGTAGCAAACTTAATATATCCTGTTCAGGCTATAACAAGCGAACATTTTATACTCTTGCATTCAATCAGAAGGAACAAAATCAGCCTGATGCTCAAAARTCCTGATATGAGTGACATGGAAGTKAGGCCAAGTTTTCGCCCAATTGTATCTATATGAAACAATTTCTGTAATTTTCATTGAATTTACTCAAACATTGGTCGATATATCCAGTATAAAATCACCTGGATGTTCGAAAGTCCTTATATTAGGTATATGGGGGCTCAAGGAAGTATGGACCCGATTCAATCCATTTTTAAAACACGGAAGAACTATCTCTCTAAGACCGATATTTTCGGTCAAAAGTCAATTATAGATACTGGAGTCAACATATTCGGTACCTAAGGTATTGAACAGATTGGCTGGATTTGGAAATTTTTTGGTTATATTATGGAGTTTATTACTCTAAAAGATCTATTAATGCAAAATTTTATCCCGTTATATCAATTGCTTTCTGATTTCTATATTAGAATAGTCATTTACTGCCCATAAAAAGGGATTCTCCACTAGATACCTTCTTTATGTTTTAAAGTACTTGCAAAAAAAGGTTGTCATCGATTTGCGGACTTTGATCATAACTTCGCGTGGCGAGTATTTTGCCAGGTGATTTTGAGTTTGAACTCAGATGCCTTGACCTGACATACTTGACCTGGCTGCTAAGTGGCAAAATGTCAAGACTGAATTCGAAGGTGTTTTTAAAGATTACACATTTAATGATGTTGAGATATGTTCGTGAATGCTTTCAGTGATCAGGAGGCCTTTTCCTTTTTGAATTAAAAATTGCACTATAATATGATTTTAAACACTGAACAAATCTTCATACTTTCATAAAATTAAAATAAATTAATTAAACAATTTTATTAAATATAAAATAACATAAAACATAAATATAAATTAATTAAATATAATAAACGCTATATATTCTTTAATATAAGTTTTCCCTACAGGGCACATATGCATAATATTACATAATAACTGAAGCAATATTATTTTGTTCGGCATGCGGGCTTTGACTTCACTTATACCTTTTTCTTCATGCACACACGCATATATACATACATATGCACATATATATTTCTGGATGCTTTTGGGTATTATTTGTTTTGCTCAACTTGTTGAGCTCTTTTTGTTTGTGGCTTCACTACCCTACAATGGTCTATAGTTAACCCAAAAAAATGTGGGTGAACGTTGGACTATATACGCGCAAAGCCATGCATGTAAAACATATATCTTCGTTGCCCTCTCTATCTGCATTGGTGCATATAGAGCTTATACATAAATGTGTGTATGCGTGTAAACAGAGTTAGCCCACTACTCAATGAGTCGTTGCCGCAGTTTTGACACATTAGTGTAACTCATTTGAATTAGTATGATACACATGCGCAGTTGTGCAGTTAACGTGAACGCATTCACTACCGGTTTGTTGAAAGAGATACACACACTCCCGCGTATACATATACATATATTGCTATACCAATAGACTCCAATCACGTCGTTAAAATTTGTGTCACTTTTTAGTTAACCGAAGGTGTAGCAACCATAATACGGGCATTATGTATGCCTTCAGCTAATTAAGTGAGGCATAATAAGTTCATTAGCTGATAAATCACTTCGGTTATTTTTTGGGTTATCGCATTTGAAGTTTGGTGACGGCGGAGAATGTGAGCTTTGAACGTCCACCCACATTGTGCGCACTCGTTGCTAAATATTTTGAATCGTATGAGCACATACATATGTACATACATATGGTATGCTTTTATTGCAATTTTTATGTGTAAGCTTCATCTACTGAATAAGGTACTGGAATTTTTGCACACTCAATCTACTTCATTCATGTRTACATACATATATAGTATGTATACGATATCAATGTGCACCATATGCCCATATGCTACACATGCCAAAAGAGACGAACTTTTTTCCAGTATCGTATACATTTTTTTTTTTTTTTTTTTTGTTTACAAAATTCGGCTTGAATCACTCACTGAATGCTCTATTGGCAATACACTTTACATATTAGAAAATGCTTATATATAAAACATAATATATATAGCTATTAAATAATTTTTACTTTATTCTAACACAATTTGTAACAGTTTAGAGAATCTCTTAAAAATCTAAATTAATATCTAAAATTTTTTTTGGTTGCTCCTCTTACGTATTCAGAAAGTGTTGCTCCGGCGACTGTTGTTTGGTTTTTCGTGTTTTGACAACTGGAAATTGTTTAAACTGAGCGCGCTTACAAGTAGCTGAATTAAAAGAGCGTACATGAGTTGAGTTTTATGTTGGGCAAAATGTTTACTCAACAATTTATGAAAGAGCGCTAGTAAAGATCCACTGAGAGCAAATAGTAAAGTCGCTCTTTAACAACAAAAGCGATCAACTGTTTTAAGCATTTGATAAAGCTTTGTTATAGGAAAGCTTTATTGATTGTATGGCGCCTGAAAATATACATTTTGTCATTATTAATATTCATAACGGTATTTTTAAATAATTATAATTTTTTCTAAAATGTGTAGGCGTTTCAAAATACCGTTTCCCTTATATTTAAGCAAATTTATAAAAAAAAACAAAATAAGTTGACATACAATTTTAACTCAGAACTTTGTAAAAATAAATTACAGTTTTCAAATTTGAAGGATACTTTGTGGATACATTTCTCTCATTTATTTTCTTTTATACTCTTGGAACATGTTGCTGGAGAGTAGAATAGATTTGCTCACATCCGGATGTTTGTTTGCATTAAGGGCTTTAAAAAATGTTTTTTTTTTGAGGATTTTTTTGGTAAGGAAAGAAATTAGTGATTAAAATTTCTAGGGTTTATAGCTATATGTCTAAACATCATTTACAAATTTTTGGATACGAAATACGGCAGAATATTAAAGCCTTTGGAAAGCATTTGCTAGCTGCATTTCGTATAGGCATTTGTCGGATGGCGAACAGAATGCAGGTCGCAATTTCCATCGAAAACAAAAAATTCAAAGAACTTCATATTTTTTAATATTTTATCTTCTAGTTAAAAAATTCTAAAAAAAAGGGTAAAATTTTAGAAATTTTTAAAATTGAAATGAATGGTTTTTGAGCAAAAAATTTTACTTAATGTTGTTTAAAAATATGTCCAAACTCGTCTTATCCTAGTTATTTTAGTTTTAATATAAGATAATTTAATCAGAAGGAAAATAAACTTTTATTAGTTTTTTTTCTATAAACTTTTATTAGTTTTTTTTCTATCCTGCCCGCTAATTAAGAAAAATTGTAAAAATGAAAAACCGATAAATCGCGCGTCAAAGTTTTCGCTTTCTGTCCAATCGCTCATATATCTGCTAGACGCTCGGTCACTATTTTCCTTCTAGCTTCGAAAATATTTAAAATTCCCATCTAAAACTTTAGGGACATATTCTTAGATTATTTTTAAAGAGATTTAAGCAAAAAAAAAAATTTGATTCTTCTAATTCAGGATCCCCCCTTAAGAAAGAATATCTGAAGTTTGAAAAATCTTGGAAAAGAGTGTCCGGCCCCGCCACTAGAAGGCATGATATAATATAGCTCACAAACTACTTAAGCTAAATCAACCAAATTTACTCAGTAAATTCTTTTCGATGACAATGTAAAAATGGGTAAAATCTGATTATAATGTAACTTACTCTCCACATAGTGACCCCAATATCGCCTACTTCTCAAATATACCACAAATTTAAATTCCAAAAGATTTTTTAGTACAAAATATATAAATGAAATACGCATTAAGACATTGCCATAAAACTTTCTACAAATAGTGTTCTGAGAACACGGCATTTTATGTAAATAAATTATCCAAATCGGAAGGTTAGCATCCAGATACCGAATATATGAACCACAGCGCATATAACTGATATTTTACTGAAAACACAGGACAACTATGAGATTTATTATTAAAATTAAATATTTTCCTTAGGTGTAAAATCGGGTCAAAAGTTCTCCCAGACGCTTTATACCATATTATCGAACTTCCGGTTGACTTTGTACGGTATACATCGTCAAATATGTCAGTTATCTTAATGAAATTCAGAAAGCATATTTTCTACCTACTGCATATTTATGTGCCTAAAATGGATAAAATCGAGCGAATATTTCTTCTAGTATTCTAAAAGTAATGTGGCCTGGCGCTAAATGTGAATGAAATCGGTCTAGTGCTAATTTAGGGTAGTTAAAAAGTTCGTTTCGTATTTCTTGTCAACTGCAACTATTTTTTTTTACTGTATTTATTTATATTTATAATGAACTCTAATGAGCCAAATATATAACATTTTGGTCGACCACTTTTTGCCATTTTTCCGCTATAGATATTTTTCTGTCAGTACAAAACTTTTCTGGTTTCTCGGTGAAAAAATTCCGAGCTAACTTTACTCTAGGGAGTTCGGCATTGACCGAAACAAATAATGGTCCGATGGTGCAAAGTCACGGCTATATGGTTGAAGCATTAAAACTTCCCAGCCAAGCTCTCTCAGTTTTTGCCGAGTCACGGAAGACGAAGCCCTTTCTGTTGATAAGTTCTGGCCATTTTTTTCGATTGCTTGCAGTCATCAGTTGCTGACAGTAAAATGTAGAATCAATAGTTCGACCAGGCTGCAGCAACTCATAGTGGATGATTCCTTTCCAATGTCATAAAACACTCAGCATAACCTTTCGAGGCGTCACATTTGATCCACTTTTCGTCTCTTTTTACCATTGGCTTCAGAAAAGGTTCAATTTCATTGCGTTTGAGCAAAAAAWTGCAGATGTTAATTCCGTCCATTAAATTTTTCACAGACAATTCAATTAAGTTTTTTGTAGCCAGCCATTTTTAATCGGTTCAAAACCATTTGATGATAAATGCTAAGTTCCTTCCCGATGTCATAGCTGCTTATGCGACTGCAACGACATCTATTCACAAAATACGAAAAGACTTTTTCGACTACCCAATATATAGATTTCAGTTTTTTGGTTCTAACTAAAACCGATCATTTTACTTCTAAATTAATATAAACAAAATATTGAATTTAAACCTAAGCAAAAATAGTTTGTATAAAAAAAAACATTTATTTTTTATTTCCAACACATTTTAAATAAACAATGATTTTGAAAATAATTATTCAACAAATATAAAAAACAAGTATAAAAATTTTACAACTTAAAACTAGGAAGTTTTTCACTTAAACAGGAAAACAATCAATAAGAATACAAAAATATAAAAAAAAAACAATAAAACCATGGAACAAAATAAGAATTTCGTGTGAAAACTACTCGAAGTAAAAACTTATCAGCTATATCCACTCAGGTAAATAACAAACAAAGCTAATTGAGAACACTGGGAGCATGAAGGGTCTGAATAGCTGAAAATTGCTACCGACACGCCAATAATTGCCAGCACCAAAGCCATCGTTACATCGTCACAGCGTCAAAGCAAGATCATCAAGTTCATCATTTAGCGAAGCTAACGTTTGCAGCGACACATTTATTCGATGGCCTCGATTATTTCATACTCATCATCCAGCGAATGGTCATAGTCGATGTTGTATTTGTTTTTGATTTTACTCTTGTAGTCTTTAAGTTCATCGTTATCCAGATTATTGGCATTGGTTGATGTGCTTTTATTTCTACTCTGCTTACTCTGTGCATTATTGTTGTGGCTGTGGCTATTGCTGTTGTTGCTATGATTTCGACTGCGTTCATTGGTACCACCAATTTGATTTGATATACTATAGCCGATGTTATTCTTATTCTTATTACTATTACTGCTATTGCTCTTATATTGATAATTATGGTTGTTGCTATTGCTGTTACTATATTTATTACCGCCATCCGAGTAAGTATTGCCATTAATTTGTGAGTATTTCATGTTGCCTCTAAAACTACTTTTTGGTAAATTATGAGTGGTCAGCAAAGAATTCTGCTGTGATTGTTGCTGGTGTTGTGATTGTGGTTGGCGCTGTTGCTGTTGTTGTTTATTGAACCGCGTTTGTTTTTGCCCATATTCTGATATGGTTAGCTCACTCAAGCCATTAATTTCACGCGCATCATAATAGGCATCTTCCATTTGAAATTCTTTTGGTTTTCTTTGTCTTTGTTGTTGTTGTTGTGCATACCGCAGTTGTTGCTGTCGTTGATGTTGTTTCGCTTGCTGCTGCTGCTGCTGCTGTGTTTGATATTGATAATTTTGTTTTGGTTGGCTCAATAAACTGGTTTGATTTATGGCTTGAGTGGCCTTATATCAGAGGTTCTGTTCGGGATTCGGTTCGGTGGTACGGTATAGTTCATCGTTGTTTTTGTACAATTGTTCTGCCACTGGGCAATTGACATTCGTCCACCAATCACATACACGTACAGCTTGATTGAAAACGGTACCGTTGGGGCATATGAATGAGTATTGATGACCCGAATGCAGGCACCAATGCCAGACCTAAATGATTAAATGCAAGAAAAGTTAAAATTATTCGAATACTAGGAAATAAATAATTCGTTGACATTTACTGGTACTGGCAGACAATACAATAAAATCTATATTACAAATGTAAATCAGTATTTCAGTTTGTGTTTATGTATAGTGATATGGAATTTCTGAGCCCTTTTTAAAGATTAGCTAACATTATTAGCGTGTTGTGGTTATTTGTATACCCTAATGACTTGTCTTTTTACCACATATAATTTAAAGTTTCCAATAAAATATTTCATAATTTATCATTAGCGCATTCAGAAAATTTTGTACCTATATGTCATTTATGTTAGGATTGTTTACAGTGGTTACAAAAATGCAACTTACAAATAAAATGTAGAATATTAATGCGAGATTATTTTTTAAAAATGTCCAAGTATATCACTCAGTGAAAGTGTCTCTATAAACAATCATCATAATTTACTTATGAAGGTGTTTACATTCAGATATGGAGATATTTTGGGTATGAGACGCGTGTGACTGGTCCCGAAAAGGCTGATTTTTTTTTTTCAGAAAAACCGTAAAGAGGTCTCTTTGATGTCCAAAGATCGTACGAATTCCGATCCCACATTCATGGAAAGCATTATAGCTGCCGTTAAGACATGGGTTTCAGAGTTTGACATGCAAACAAGTCAACAATCATCATAATGGAGGGAAAAATCGAGTAGAAATCCAAAAAACGCCAATGTGGCTCAAAAATTAATGTGATTTTCATT